CAGGCAGCAGCTGGAGTGGTGTGTGTTTGGCACTGGAGGGCACCTATAGAGTCAGCCCCCAGGAGGCAAAGCGAAGGCGCAGGGGGGTGCTCAGGTCAGGCTTCTGGCGAGGACAGCGACGCAGGCTGGGGTGACCTGTAGAAACCATGGCTGGCGCATGTCAGCCCCGCAGTGGTCAGGCTCCATGGCAGGAGGAGTGACGAGGCTGGGTGCCTGTAGAAGACCATGGCTGCCGCATGTTCAGCCCTGGCAGTGGTGACTGCCAGGTCAGGCTCACTGGGAGGAGCAGCGATGAGGCCCGGTGCCTGTAGGAAGACCCGTGGTTGGCAGTGTGTTCAGTCCTGCACTGCCAGTGGTGGTGGCCCTCATCTCCTGTGGTCAAATTTACATTTATATTTACTGAAATCAAACACTTTTAAAAAGTCAGTTCTCTGTCACAGGGGCCAAACTTCAAGAGCTGAGTAGCCTCAGGTGTCCAGTGACCATCACGTGGCACAGTGTTGGCCTGAGCCTGGCTGTCCCGGGCACAACCCACAGGATGAGTCCACGCCTCCCCCCAGCGGGGCCACCGGACAGAGGTGATGTGGGAGGCTCAGTGGCTTTTCAGGGAAAGTGCCAAGCCCTCTCCATGGGGGTCGGAGAATGTTTTTAGTTTGGATTCTAAACAGAGAGCAATTCTTGCTATAGAACAAATTTAAGCAACAGCTAATAAAGCAGACTAGACTTACTAGACATACTCCGATGCTTAGAACCCTGCACTGAGCATTTTGTATACATGACCCCAACTAGTTCTTCCAACAATCTGTGAAGTAGATTCAGTTTGTTATTTTCTCCATGTCTCTCCAGAGTTAGGTAATTTGGGGCCCAGCAGAGCAGGGCGGCGCTCTGTCCTCTGGGAAATACTGCCTTCCTGGAATGTTCCTTCCAACCCAGAGTGCTGCGAAGGCTGGCAGGATAGGGGCCAGAATGTGTCGGACATCAACGCCAGCCTGGATGGAGAGCTCGGATCCCAGAGAAGGCTGAGCGCGGGGAGGAGAGGGGCGTGGGCCTCTGCATCTGAGCTGCTCTCTCATCCTGAAGTTTGCGCTTTGGGCCCTGCGAGCCCTCGGAGGCCAGCCTGTGACACCCCGGCCAGGTCATGCAAGGGTGGCGCCGGAACACTGACCTCTGCAGTTCCTCTGGGGAGCACTGACCAGCACTCAGGGGATGGATCCGTGCAGCGAGCTGTCGAGAGGAGAGAGTAGGGGAGGACTCCGCAGTATCCCAGTCAATGCATATTGAGTCGTCCAGAGGAGAGAGAGGGGGAGGACTCCACAGTGTCCCGGCCGATGCATAATTTGTTCTTCTTATGCATTTTACCACCATTTTGGCTAGCATTTGGTACTTCAAGGAACAGTTGTTAGAGGCAAAAATCACAGAAAAGGCATTTGCGTTTCAAAGGCTTCGCTTTGTGGATGCCAAATCCCAGAGATAGAAGGAACTCCTTGCAGCGGCCATAGATTTGGAAGGATGCATCCCCATCAGGTAGCGGCTAAGGAATCTCCAGGGAGGAGACGGACAAGGGAGAGGAGAGGAGCAAAGGGGTTTAGATGCCTGGGGGTCCTCAGAGAGTGGCCTGAGAGCAGCATGGAGCTGTGGAAAGAGACCTCAGACACACCACTCCCCTGCCTTCCTGATGGCGACAGACATAGGAGCTCTCAGGGCTGGAACCTGGGAAGGTGGAGGAGCCGCCCATGAGGCTGGTGCTTGGGCAGGGACAGGGGCCCCCCGGGAGCTGCCACTTGCCCCAGAGGTACACCTGGGGTGAAGATCGCGGGGAGGCACCACAGCCACCAGGTTATGGAGAGCAAGCTCTCACCATACAGTGGAGGAGAAGACAGCAATTAGTTAAGTTACAGGAAACAGATACGCTGGTAGAATTTACATGTTATAACATAATTCCACTAAAAAGTTGGCATACTCCTGAAAACCTACCTACTCTTCCCTTAAGAATCAAGTAATATTATGTTTATTAGAAATTATTTGGAGAAATCAAAAGATCGGAATTACAGTCTTAGCTTCACACTAATTATGAGGACGTCAAAGTTTTTTGTTTGTTTGTTTAATTGAGATTAATTCACATATGGGAACTTGCTTTTATTTGTTTATTTATTATTTTTTTTTTAAATTTTTTTTGAGATGGAGTCTCGCTCTGTCGCCCAGGCTGGAGTGCAGTGGCTGGATCTCAGCTCACTGCAAGCTCCGCCTCCCGGGTTTACGCCATTCTCCTGCCTCAGCCTCCTGAGTAGCAGGGACTACAGGCACCCGCTACCTCGCCCCGCTAGTGTTTTGTATTTTTTAGTAGAGATGGGGTTTCCCTGTGTTAGCCAGGATGGTCTCGATCTCCTGACCTTGTGATCCGCCCGTTTTGGCCTCCCAAAGTGCTGGGATTACAGGTTTGAGCCACCGCGCCCGGCCGGAACTTGCTTTTAAAATATCAGATTCTCCATCTCTTTATTGGATATAAGAATGATCCTGTTTGTTTGTCTTGTCAATTTTTTGTTTGTATATTGGTTCTCCCTATAAAATTTTAACAGGCTAACTTTCTCGGGACAGAGACTGTCTTGAAATCTTTATTTCTCTGAAGATCCTAGCACAGTAGCTGGATAGCCCCCTTCCAGTGGGTAGAATCCTAAGGTGGCCCCAAAGTCTCCCCGTGTGCACCTACCGTGCATGGGCCTCTGTCCTTGAGTGTGGCTGGCCCTGTGAACACAGTACAGTCATTGCTCCCATGATGGGGGGACATCCTATGAGACCCCAGCCCGGCTGCCAAGTGGTGAGGCCACCAGCTGTGTGGCCAGGACCTGGGGACCTCATCCACGGAGGACGACTCTGCCCAACGTCCAGCAGGACAGTCGGGCCTGACGGCTGCAAGCTCAGGAGCTGATTTCTGCCAGGAACCCGAATGAGCTGTGAGTTGGACCATGAGCTCTGGGGGGATGCCACCTGCAGAGGACCCCCTTAGGCCAGCTTGGGCTTCCACTGTGGGGAAATTGAGCTAATGACGGGGCCTGGGTATAAGCTGCTTTGTTTGTGCCACTTTGGAGAAGAAATTAGAAGACCAGCACGGTGCTCGGGCATGGAACACAGTTTGGCTTCCTGGGCTAGTGCGGAGGGCCCTGCTGAAGCTCAATGCTTTCATTCAGCATCTGCTGAATGCTTCTCAGGCCCTGGGGAGGGCTGGGGGACGGGCGAGTGTGGGAGTGCCTCAGGAGGAAATCTTCCTGCAAAAACAAAGCAGGGTCACGCTCCACCCCGGTCAGCGCTGGGCCAGAACACTGGCTTGTTTCAGGCAGAGGAGGACCAGATGTCACCTCTCACTCCTGCTATTCCCAGGGCTCTTTGGGATTCACAGTTCGAGACAGATGTTGAATCTGACTCTTTCCCTCCCAATTTCTTCCCGTCAAACACTAAAAGATGGAGATTAAAGTAAAAGAAGCAAAGGGTCTGAGGGGTTTTTGGGAGGCAGCACCGGGCACCGGGTCAATGCAGGGTAGGTGTCGGGGAAAGCGGAGGGCCCCTGATGCAAGGTCTCCCCTTGGAGGGCATCTGGACCTGGGGCAGAGCAGGGAGCTGACTCCAAAGGTCAGAGAGGTCAAGTCCCTGAAGGCTTCCTTGTAAAGTGATTCAGTAAGGCCAATTTTCCACAGGAGTGGCGTGGAGCAGGGGGAGCATGCGTGGGGGCAGGGGGAGCATGCGTGGGGGCAGGGGGAGCATGCGTGGGGGCAGGGGGAGCATGCGTGGGGGCAGGGGGAGCATGCGTGGGGGCAGGGGGAGCATGCGTGGGGGCAGGGGGAGCATGCGTGGGGGCAGGGGGAGCATGGGGTGGGGGTCGGGAATGTAATTCTCAAAAGCAAAGTTCCTCATGACAGCAGGTGGTGGGGTGGGGTGGTGCTCACTGAGTCCTGCTTTCTTCCCAGAGCAGATGCAGGAGGAGGCGCATCGTGGCGAGGATCTCACTTTACCAATCCCCACCCCTGCTGGCGCCCCAGGCCCCTCCCCATCCTGCAGGGCTCTGGATGGGTCAACCTGCCTGGCCTCCAGGACTAGAGATCACGGCCTGGACACAGCGCAGCGACATTTCCTCTCTTTTCCCTGAGGTGGTGACCTGGCCAGATGACTGAAGGGTTGATAGTAAGGGGCTGCCTGCTCGGAATGGGGGCATGGGGCTTCGCAGGAGCTGGGGCACAGCAGGGTTCAGCCCTGGATGGAAATGCTCTGTTTCCCTCCCTTGTGCTGCATTTACTCCTGGGCTGGGGCCACCCTCCCTTCCACCTCCTGCCGATCACAGAGGGACCCAGCGCTCAGGAGAACTTTCCTCCTGTGTTACAAAACAAGGTGCATCATTGAAACATGCCGCGGTCAAACAGAAAGCTCCCACCGGGCCTGGAGGAGGCCCTGGCACTGTGGTCCTCACTCCCACCACTCTGCCTAGAGGGGGGTCTCAGAGAGTTGAGGGGACCTCCCTGGTTGGGAAAAGGGGAGCATCCAGGGAGTGCCAGGAGAGTCCTGGAGGAGCATTTGGAGGTGACACAGTCCCAGCGCTCTGTCTACGGCAGGGATCAGCATTGCTGACACACCAAATCTTTATTCCCTGATGATGTGGAATTTGGAGTCAACATCAGAGACTTGAGCACAGAGTAACCAGAACCTCCTGAGTGTGCCCTGTCCATGTATCTGGTCTCTGGACAGGGTGGCCGGTCCTCGTCCACGACAGGGAGAGCAAGCACCCCTCCCCTCCACACAACTGGCAGATGAGGAACCACCCTCCTGGGGATCCAGGGGCAGGGCACCCCCCAGAGAGGACAGCCGGGGAGGGTCCCCTCACTGTACTTCCCCCCGAGAGGACAGCCGGGGAGGGTCCCCTCACCGTACTTCCCCCAGAGGACAGCCGGGGAGGGTCCCCTCACTGTACTTCCCCCCGAGAGGACAGCTGGGGAGGGTCCCCTCACTGTACTTCCCCCACACCTCCAGACACCAGCGAGTGATCTGTCTTGAGATCAAAACCAGAATCCTAGTAGACGAGCTGCGTGCTCGCTGTGGATGCCCTGCGCCCTGAGAGTCTTGTCCTGGATCACACGGGTGTGTCCACAAACGAGGCCCAGCAGCCCCGGAGGAGCCCCACGTCTCTCCCTACCGGCCATGCATCCAGGAGCGCAGCTTGCCTCCCAGTCAGTTCCCTCATCTCTAAAATAGGACCACACAGATCTCAGGGCACATTGGTTGAATGTCAACCTGTGTTTCTGTAAAAACTATGGCTACTCAGCACCACAGAGAGGCAAGAGAGCATGAAGGTGTCCCTGTTTGAGCTCCCAGCTTCCCGGTACCAGGTGACACTGGGGGGCCTGTTTTACTTATGGAATTCCCAGCTTCCCTAATGTCAGATGACACCTTGGGGCAGGATTTACTTATGGAATTCCCAGTTTCACAGCGTTAGGTGACACTGTGGGGTGGGTTTTACAGATGGAATGAGAAAGAGGTAAGGTGTGTTCCTCCAGATCCAGACCCTAAACACCTCCCTCTTAGGGTCCTCCATGTTCTTTTCCTCTCTCTGGTTATGGAATAAAAACAGCCCTTGGAAAGTGTGTTGAAGGTGCCAGAGCCCTTCTCCCTGTTGCCTTGTGTGTAGACCTCAGCTCTGCTTAAGTAGTTTGAAGCGTGTTTGTCATGGCCGTCAGCCTATCCTCGCTAATCTTCCATTATTTGAGATGATTGATTTAAAAAATAGCTCACATAGTAAGTACTCAATATGGTGACTTATTTTTGCAACAATTCCCTTGAGATATATCAAGCAAGACAAACATTCTATAAAAGGTTATGTTCTCAATTATAATGGACTAGAGAGGAACCCAAAAATAAATAGAACACTTCACATATTCCAGACAGAAAAGGTTTAAAAAATGTATGTTGGTCAAGACTCTTAAGATATGAACTACTTCTAAAAATATTTGTTTTTCAGAGTTAGAACTTTAAGTTTGGAGAATCTTCCTAAATTTAACTGGAGTGAGAACTGAAGTGGTGGCAAAGAAGGATGCTCAGGGCACCGCACACGAGAGAGAAGGCTCAACAGCTGCAGAGGTCTTCCCTCCACTTCCCTCCCTCTTCCACCCCATCCTCCCTGCATCTACGGGCTGCCCAGCGCTTGGTGAGGGTCTCCCATGAAGATGGCGTTGGGCCCCTCACCTCTGGGGGTGCTCAGGCCTCGGCAGAGCACTCCCTGCTTCCCTCTCCCCCACCTTTACCTCCTGACTCCTTTTGCTCGACTAGAATCTCTCACCTTCCCACCTTCCCATACACCTGTGAACTGCACCTGTCTCCTGGCAGGCCCTCGGTTCCTCACATCCGCACCCAGTGAACACACGGCTGCTTCCTGTTTAAACACAGACTTAAATCTCCTCTCATAAAATGTATTGAGTCAATGGTGCATGAAAGCTTTTCTTAGGAGCTGTTGTGTGCAGCGCAGAATGAGGTGCCACGGATGTGCAGGAAGGAACAAAGGTCCCCACACATAGACATTGCAGTGGAGCGTGGCGGATGTTGCAGCTACTCAGTATCGGGCAGAAACGGAAGGGACAGTGTCTGCAGAGAGGAGGATGGGGCAGTTTCACCAAGATCATCACAGGGATCAGAGTCAGGGAGAGATGAGACAGTGCAAAGCAGTCGCTCATGGGGGTCAGGCAGCCTGGACCTGAGCCCTGGCTCAGTCACTCACAGGACCCCAGGGGAAGTTCTCTTCTCTTTGCCTCAATGTCCTGATCTTTAAAACACAGATAATTACAGAGCCCACTTCTTCAGGCTGCTGTGAGGATTAAGAAGGCTGGTATGCGGAGGTGCTTAGAGCTCTGTCGGCCCATCAGCCCTGAACAGCCTCCACTGACATTGTTTGGAAGATGAGGAGCCATCACATGACAGAAGGAGAAATAGAGGAATGGGTGCCCTTGGCAGCCTGAAGGGCTCACCGGGAGATGGGGTAAAGGGTGTTCTCGGCACCCCAAATGGCTCACAGGGAGATGAAGGAAAGGGTGTTCTCGGCACCCCGAATTGCTCACAGGTGTGAAACACCATGGGGATGAGGCAGCTCAGGATGGCTAGGAGGAGATGCTCCCAGAGCCAGGAGTAGGGCCAGGCCTGGGGGAACTGTGGAGCATGGCAGGAGTCCCTCCCTCAGGAGCCTCTTCCCTGGGCCTAGGGGAACTGCGGAGTGTGCCTCCTCGCTCTGTCCTCCCTGCCGGCCGGCCGCGGTCTCCCTCACGGAATCCTTCATATTCCATGGCCCCTTGGCGGCTGGTGACCTGGAGCTGCTCCCTCTGCACCTCCCGCATGCACCCGCATGTCACCGGGGCTGGAGTAAGGCTCCCACGCTGCTGTCTTCCCCACAGCCTGACAGCTGAGCGTTGGGGACAAAAGTGTGCCCTCCCCTCCAGTGGCTGACACGTGGTCTCCAATTCCCTGTGTGTCCTTAGCATGGCTGTGATTCCCTTGGAATCCCCTCTCCTGAAGGCGTCCCAGACACCACCACGCCCTGCAGCCCCGCTCAGGTGTCCGACTCATGTGTGAACGACTCCCATGAAGTCCTTGTCCAGATGGACCAGATGGAGCTCTGCTCCGAGGACCCTCGGCTCCCCAGTGCATTTACGTCCACATTTGTCCAGCTTGTCTGTGGTTTCCTGACCTCTACCAAGATCTGTCTCCATCTGGTCCTCCTGCCGCCTTCTGTATCTTTAACCCATTTCTTCCTCCTGGATTTTTCCTCTTCAGACAAAGGCCAGACCCACATTTCTCTGTGCCCGTGAGGTCCTGCCCACTCCCGTGCCTTTCCAGCTACTGCCAGCATTGTTCTTCTCCTCTCGTCTGGTCTGCGTTTCTAGAACCATTAGTCGTGTCCTCTATGACCCCCTGAACTTTCCATCCGGCTCTTGTCCTATCTCATTTTGGTTTTGGTGCCTGATCTTTTCCCTAAACTCTCCACAAAGCGCCTCAGTTGCATTCCCACGACCAATACCCCAAATGAGTCCAGCATCATTTTGAACTCTGCACCACGCCGGCCTCTCGCCACTTTCCCCGTATTGTGCATGTTCTTTTCTTTGGAAGCTTCTGCACATCACGGCGCCCCTAACACCACCGTGAAGCTCCGTCTTCGTCACGGCCTCTCCGCCTCCACCTGTCACAAATGTGTGCATCTCCCGGGGTGTCTCTGCTGCCGCTCTTCTCCGTGGACCCCTGGTCCCAGGGCAAACCCACAGGGTCAAGTGTGACCTGAGTGCTGCCGATTGCCGATTCCCGATTCCTACACAGCTGTCCCTCAGACACCTCCCGAGGTCCGTTCCCAGCTGTTGGGTGGATATTCCCACCTCAAAGTCCCACAGAATCTCAGAATCTCAAGCTCACGTATTTAAAATGAAATCACCATCTTTCCCCACTTTCATGGTGTGAGTATTTGTGTCCCTCGAGGTTCCTGTGTTGAAGTCCTAACCGCTGGGTGTGTTTGGAGCTGGGGCCTCTAAGGGAATAATTCACGTAAATGGTCTTGTAGGGGTGGGGTCCTGATCTGACGGGATCAGAGTCCTGACGAGAGGAGACACCAGCGAGCCTGCTCTCTCCCCGCCTTGTGAGGACGCAGTGAGAAGGCCCCTGTCTGCTGACCGGGAAGAGAGGCCTCCCCAGAAACCAGATCAGCTGGAGCCTGACCTCAGACTTCCGGCCCAGGACAGGGGATAGAGGTCAGTTGTTCAAGCCACCTGGCCCAGGGTATTTTTTCGTGACAGCTGAGCAGACTAAGATCCCCATGGCAGTCAAGGCTTCATTCTTTCCATCTTCCCAACTGCCGCATTGCCACCCGTGCAGCTGCTGAGGTTGGGGCCACCTCTCCCGCCAGGATTCACCCACCAGGCCCTGCTGGTTCAACTTCCTCGGCAGTCCTGTAATCTGTCCTTCCTTTCATGTCGGAGGTCCAGCCCTCATCATGCCTCACTTGGGTCCACGGGAATGGCTTGACGTGTCTGCCCGCCCGTCTGCTCCAGGTCTCCTCCACAGCCACCAACGTGGCACATTCGAAGCCCAGACTCCAAGAGTCACTTAAAGTCCTTGACGTAACCTTCCTCCCTGTGGTGAGCTGCGCCTTTCTTCAAAATTCAGCTCCTGTCTTGGCTCCTGAAGGGCCCTGGCCTGTTCGCCCCATCTGGACTAGACATTTCTCCTCTGTGATGCTGATGGCTGGCCTGGCACTATGTTGCAGCATCTGTAATCTCCTTCACCCAAGTCCACAGCATTCTCTAAAACATGGTCTCTTCTCTCCTCTAAAGAGCAGGCCGTGGTACTCAACTTTGTAAACCAGACCTGGCCGGAGATCAGTGATGCCGGTGGAGGCACGTCTGCCTGTGTCGGTGGAATGAGCTGAATGAATGACACGTCTGTTGGGGGCTTAGAGGAGGGTGAGCTGCAGGTTGAGCTCTCCTCCAGCACAGACCCCAAGGGTCTCAAGTCCTAGGAAGCCTCCTCAGATTCCTCTGAGTCTAAAGCCAGTGTCCCCCACAGCGTGCGCCGGTGGCACTGCATCCGTGGTTGGCCTCGCCCTAGTGCCCGCATCCGAGGCTTTATGTGAGTCTGTTCCCTCACTGTGAGGTTCTGGGCTCAGGGAGTGAGTGTTAGGTCTCGCTTACCATCACCACTCTAGGCTCTGCCACTTCTGCTATGTGGCTCGGCCTTAGCACCTGTCCAGAATGCTTGCTGGGGGTCTGCATGGGCCGAATGGTCCCTGGTCATGGCCTGGTACTGTCCTCAGTCTGTGTTCACTGGGACTGAGGACACCCTCCCGTCCTGAGCCATCCGCTCTGCCACTTCCTCGTGTATAAAATCAGCATTTTCTACCCGACTTCTGTTGTGGTAGAATTGTCCCTGCCTCCTCCGTCCGGGGCTTCTCCATGTGCCTCCGGTTCTCCCCCTCATTTATGGGAGGGATTGGCCTTTACGCCTGACCTGAGGGTCTCGTCATAGCTGCTTTTACAACCACAACATGGCATCTGCCCCAAAGGTCATGGCACCACGTATGCACGCGCCCAGGAGCCAGGATGGGGCCTTGACTTTTAATCTTAGACATTGCTTTTCTAGAAAGACCTGGCCAACCCTAAAGATAAAACGTTTTCTATTTCTCTTACATCAGTCCTGCTTTTCTCAGACAGGACTCAGCTCAGGGAACAGGCTCAGGCAAAGGAGCCTTCCTGCCTAACCCTCAACACAGAAAGGACAGCGGCCATGCCAGGACTCACCGGGAAGTGAAGTGGAAACGATTTCACAGCAAATGGGGTGGGTGACCAGGGGCTCCTGTCAGGTCTGAGACCCAGGAGTGGGCTGGGCGTGTGAGCAGGGCCCCAAACCATGGACATTGGTTCCTGCTTCCTCTACTGTTTATATTTTGGTACCTGCTTGAAAGCAGTTCTTCATCATCTGGCTAGACTGTCACAGTTTGGGGGAAAAGAGAAATAAAACAGGCAGCTTCTGTTTCAATCTTTTTTTGCTGCTGCTTCTAACCGCTGCTTCGTTTGCATAGCGGGTGGGATGTACAGGGGCCCTCCAAACTCCAATCTTGACGTGTCCGCGGGGGCTTTGTGGGACGCTTCTGCTAGCCCAAGCCCTGGAAGGTTTGGGAAAACTGCCAGGCAGTCCCGGCAGTCTGGGCAAGGCCAGGGCTTCCGAGGAAACAGAAATGTCTGAGGCTTTCTAATGCGTGTATTTCTGTGCGCTTAGCTGTGTTCTTGCTGGGTATTAATATTTTTACACTTTCAGAAAATAATATTCCGCCTGTCTAATAAAATTGATGAAGATTTGATCAACAGAGAAAAACCATGGTCAACACATGATGGAATATTATTCAGTCTTAAAAGGGAAGGAAGCTCGGACACGTGCTACAAGCCCTCAAGCCCATGTGCTTGAGGACATGGACTCCGTGAAATAAGACGGTCACAAAAAAGCAAACCCCGTGGGATTTTACTTATACGAGGTCCCCAGAAGTGTCAGATTCACAGAGGCAGAAAGCGCAGTGTGGGTGCAGGGGCCAGGCAGCTGAGGAAGGGGGAGTCAGTGTTGAATGGAGACAGGGTCTCGATGGAGATGGAAGAGTTGGAGAGATCAGCTTCACAACAGCGTGAATACAGGTACTCCTCGACATACCAGGATGCATACAGGTACTCCTCCACATACCACGCGGATGGATACAGGTACTCCTCGGCATACCACGGGGATGGATACAGGTACTCCTCCACATACCACGGGGATGGATACAGGTACTCCTCCACATACCATGGGGATGGATACAGGTACTCCTCCACATACCACGGGGATGGATACAGGTACTCCTCCACATACCATGGGGATGCACACAGGTACTCCTCGACATACCATGGGGATGCATACAGGTACTCCTCCACATACCACGCGGATGGATACAGGTACTCCTCGACATACCATGGGGATGCATACAGGTACTCCTCGGCATACCACGGGGATGGATACAGGTACTCCTCCACATACCACGTGGATGGATACAGGTACTCCTCCACATACCACGGGGATGGATACAGGTACTCCTCCACATACCACGGGGATGGATACAGGTACTCCTCCACATACCACGCGGATGGATACAGGTACTCCTCCACATACCACGGGGATGGATACAGGTACTCCTCCACATACCACGGAGATAGATACAGGTACTCCTCCACATATCACGGGGATGGATACACGTACTCCTCCACATACCACGGGGATGGATACACGTACTCCTCCACATACCATGGGGATAGATACAGGTACTCCTCCACATACCATGGGGATGGATACAGGTACTCCTCCACATACCATGGGGATAGATACAGGTACTCCTCCACATGCCACGGGGATAGATACACGTACTCCTTGAATACGGGATGGATACAGGTACTCCTCCACATACCACGGGGATGGATACACGTACTCCTCGACATACCACAGGGATGGATACAGGTACTCCTCCACATACCACGGGGATGGATACACGTACTCCTCCACATACCATGGGGATAGATACAGGTACTCCTCGACATACCATGGGGATGCATACAGGTACTCCTCCACATACCACGCGGATGGATACAGGTACTCCTCGGCATACCACGGGGATGGATACAGGTACTCCTCGGCATACCACGGGGATGGATACAGGTACTCCTCCACATACCACGGGGATGGATACAGGTACTCCTCCACATACCACGGGGATGGATACAGGTACTCCTCCACATACCACGGGGATGCACACAGGTACTCCTTGACATACCACGGGGATGCATACAGGTCCTCCTCCACATACCACGGAGATAGATACAGGTACTCCTCCACATATCACGGGGATGGATACAGGTACTCCTCCACATATCACGGGGATGGATACAGGTACTCCTCCACATACCACGGGGATGGATACACGTACTCCTCCACATACCATGGGGATGGATACAGGTACTCCTCGAATACCATGGGGATGGACACAGGTACTCCTCCACATACCATGGGGTCAGCATCCCCATATAGCCATCTTAAGTTGAAAATACTGTATCTTGAAAATATTTTAAGTCAAAAATGCGTTTACTAATTGTACTGACTCAACATCATAGCTTAGCCTAGCCCACCTTAAACGCACTCAGAACACTTACATCAGTCCACAGCTGGGCAGAGTCAACTTACACAAGGCCTAGTTATACAAAAGTGTTGAATATCTCATGTAATTTATTGAATACCATATGCAAGTGAAAAAGAATGGTTGCGTGGATACTCAAAGTGCCATTTCTACCAAGTGTATATTGCTCTTGCACCATTGCAAGATCGAAAAATTGTAAGTCGAGGACCATCTGTATACCTAACACTACTGAACCATACACCTAAAGATGAGTGTGTTAATATTTTACCACAACTATAAAAACAGAACAGAACAGAACCCAGGTCCGCCGTGCTCAGGCCTGGACTGCCCCTTTTTCCCTTGTGCTGCTGCCCCGGGTTTTCCTTTGCTGCACAAACAGGGGTGCTGGTCTCCGGGCAAACACGCCCAGAGCCCTGTGACACACAGGGAGGTCCCCTTTCCTCCTCGGAGGTGGCTGAAGCCAGGAGTTCAGAGAGTTCTGATGGTGCCTTTTAGTACAATGGAGGAGTGTCAACATTTTCGTGCAGCTCAGCCAGCCCACGGCAGGGCTGTAGCAAGAGCTGCCTAGCACGCTGACATTTCCACCTCCACACCCCGCACGTGAATACTGATACCTGGGCCTGGAGCCTGTGGCCTCTCCCATCAAGCTGTGGCCCTGCAGGGTAGGTGGGGCATGGGCAGCTGGAGTCATTTCTATCATGCCTGGACTTCTGTGGGCCCTCCAGGGACCTGGGATCCTGAAAGAGGAGGCTCTGAGCCCTGGGCAAGGGTGGGTGGCAACCAGGTGGGAGTGAAGTGAGAGGCATACAGCTTTGTAGAGATGGGAGCTTCCAGCATTGCAAATTCTCTGAGTAACACGAGCCTGTAAGCTGTGATTTTACTTACTAATGTGGCCTGGGCCCCAAGATTCCATCAGCCTGTACCCCAAGATTCCATCAGCTTGTGCCCCCAAATTCTACCAGCCTGCACCCCAAGATTCCATCAACCTGCCACCAAGATTCCATCAGCCTGTGCCTCAAGATTCCATCAGCCTGAACCCCAAGATTCCATCAACCTGCCCCCAAGATTCCATTAGCCTGCACCCCAACATTCCATCAGCCTGTGCCCCCAAATTCCACTAGTCTGCATCCCAACATTCCATCAGCCTGTGCCCCAACATTCCATCAGCCTGTACCCCAACGTTCCATCAGCCTGCACTCAATATTCCATCAGCTTGTACCCCAAGATTCCATCAGCCTGCTCCCCAAGATTCCATCAGCCTGTTCCCCAAGATTCCATCAGCCTGCTCCCCAAGATTCCATCAGCCTGTTCCCCAAGATTCCATCAGCCTGCTCCCCAAGATTCCATCAGCCTGTTCCCCAAGATTCCATCAGCCTGCTCCCCAAGATTCCATCAGCCTGTTCCCCAAGATTCCATCAGCTTGTCGAGGCCAGTGCATGCATCTCAACATGCTCTCGCTCTGTGCCCGGGATCCTGGGGAAGAGGCTCCCTTTGGAGAAAAGAAACAGGGAAGGGTGGAAATTGAGGTGAGGCTGGCAACAGAGTAGACAGAGGTGTGTGGGTGAGGTTCTAGCTGCAGAAATTCACGCCTGGCATTTGGGAAGGGGTGACCTGGGGCGGGGTCCTGCTTCCCACTTCAGTGGCTCCCGAGCTCTAAGCCTCCCCCATGGAACAAGCGGCAGCACAGAGTCCTTGGTGGAGGGCTGTCCTCTGGCCCTAACATGCAATGCAACCAGAGGCTGGGGAGTGGGAGGGAACAGTACTTATCTGGCACCTGGTATTTGCTGCTTAAATCAAATGGGCAAAGTCTCAGCAGGAGGAAAGCTAAAGCGCCAGGCTCCGCAGAGGCAGCTCTGAACCAGTGCCACCCCTGGAGTGCAGAAATGCTCACGTGAGAGGATGGAACTGTTTTCGTCTGTGTCAGGCCAGCAAAACATACAAGCCCTTACTCATAGGTCAAATGGGCAGCGTTTTTACAAAATTTTTAAACATTTTATTAATGGTGAAAGGTTTGGGAAAGTAGACACTTTTTTGGAGGGCATTTTGGCACAATCTGTCAAAATTTGAAAGCTAGCATTCTTGTTTCCAGGAATATATCCTGAAGATCTGCTTGCACAAGGACATGGAGTTGTGTGTGGAAGGACGTTCACGTGGAGTTCTTTGTAACAATCAAACCTGGACAGGACACCGGGCGGCACGCACGGCAGCAGGCTCACTGGGGAGGGTGACGTGGCTCTGTGATACCCTGGGGTTCCGTGCACCTAACAAGGAACGCCCCGTCTGCTGGGCCCTGGGTGGTCCTGGTGAGCAGCCAAGGCCCCTGTCCTCATGCAGGGTTCTGGGAGACACTGAGATCCATGTGTATAAATAGGGGTGCTTTTCAGTTCCAGAGAAGACAGGAACTGCCTGCCTTTGAGAAGGGAGTTGAGAGATCAGGTACGGGAAAGGACATTCAATTTCTTTCTCTCTCTCTCTCTCTCTCTCTCAATTTTTTTTTTTGTATGAGACAGAGTCTTGCTCTGTTGCCCAGGCTGGAGTGCAGGGGTGTAATCTTGGCTCACTGCAACCTCCGCCTCCCGGGTTCAAGTGATTCTCCTGCCTCAGTCTCCCGAGTAGCTGGGATTACAGGTGCCAGCCACCACGCCCAGTTAATTTTTGTATTTTTAATAGAGACATGGTTTCACTATGCCAGCCAGGCTGTCTCAAACTCCTGACCTCAGGTGATCTGCCTGCCTCAGCCTCTCAAAGTGCTCAGCCTCTCAAAGGCATGAGCCACTGTGCCCGGCCAATTTTTCTCTTTAAACCAATTTATATTGTTTGAATTTTCTACTTGAGCAGGCATTTCTTTAATAATTAAAAAAAATCTTCCTTAACGTTTCTTTAAGGATCAGAGTCACCTATTACTGAACGTGCCATTATTCCTGTAATCTGCATACCCAGCTTTGTTCACGCTGTGTTTGAGATGGATTTGAGGCGCAGGTGTGATCTTCGTAGAAAGTGGCACATAGGGCAGCAGAAAGGAAACCACTGCAAATCTCCCCAAAGGGCACGACCTTCACATCTACGTGTGATGTTTGTATCTTCCCCTCCGCCTCCTCAAGGAAGCTGAGGGACGCCGAGCAAGGGGAGCCGTCAGCCGTGGAGACAGGTCCCACCCCGGTCTTCACTCCCCACAGAGGGACCGACTGCACCATCTGACTGCACAGAACGGGCCTCTCCTAAGATAATCTAACTGCTTGTATTTCTTTTTAGATGAAGCAAATAAAAATGAATGAGGTTGATTGGCTCTTTTGGGAATTTTCTCATGCATCTTTGGCGCAGGCATTCACCAGGAGCCACCATGCCAAACGCTATCCTCTTTCCCCCAGTGAGGCCTGCCTGTGAATTTCAGGTGAAATAAGTAACTAAATCTTAAGATATTCATGTGCATGTCTAAAAGGAAAATCTATATCTTACTGTGGATTCTAATTTTAAAAATGGAAAACTGCTGTGGTCACCTATAGATGGGGCTGGAGGAGGCTGTGCTCCCTAATGTAAGTTTAAGGTGTTTCAATGCTGTCCCCAAACCTTTGAATTTCGTTAGGTTGATATGATAGTTTTCAGCCTTTTCTTTCTAAACACAGGTGGCGGGAGAAGCTGGCACCTGCTGCCGTCGTAACCAGCCATGCCAGTTGGCTCTCGGCGGCACCATCCCAGCTAGGGTCCCGCAGACGCAGCCACTCACCTGCGGTGTGTGAGGAAGCTGCCGCTAACGTGGCCTGAACCGTCGCACCCTGGCGTGGGGCAGGACATGCCTTCTGTCTTGACCGACTTCCAGGAGAACTGGGAGCCATTCAAGTACCCGTCTTTCTGCCTCTTGGCCGCCAAGGGGCACCCGGAGGCGCTGCGATGGGACGCGTACTTCCCGGTGATGTGACCCTGGCCATCGCACCCGGGGACCGGACACCTGCAGGCAGGCAGAGGGGACACACTTTATTGCCTGGCCACCATCGGCTGGTGGTCTCTGTAACAAAGTCAGGATAACCCGGCATGAGGAGGAAAAGAACCATGCCCTCCTGGCTGGGCAAAAGGAAAAGAAAAATAGAAAAGTCACTAAAAGACGCCACCTAGTGGAAGACTGAACTAGTTCACCTGCGCAGAAGGCCTGACCCACTGCGGAGGGAAGGATTTTCTGGAACAAAGTGTATGTGCCTTGTGGGGACTGATGGGCTCAGCACACAAAAGACCATGCAGCCGCTTGCAGCTATACAAGCGTGTATTTAAAAGGCACCACTTTGGGACAGAACCATGGCTCTTCGGGTGGAAAAAATGCAAAGTCAATAAGATGTCGTGGCATTATTTTTAAAGAGGCTGCTTCGTGCTTTTCTCAAGGGCTAGAAGACGTTTGTCTGCCTGTGTCTTCTCGAGGCCTTAAAATGCCCTTCCAGCTAGAGAAGATACTCAGCTGTAGAGACGTCTCAGGAAGTCTCCTGGAGTCAGGCTGGCACATGGACACAGGGCAGGTGTGTTCCCGGGAACTTGGGAATGGCAGGACCAAGACACACGCCAGGGCAGCAGAGGCGCCTGAAGGAGGCAGGGCCTGGCCTAAGCGCTCCTCATGTGTCCTGAGTGGTGAGTTTGCCTGCATTGTTTTTATTAACAGAAAAGTTCGCGTTCCCCACAATTTGCATTACCTATTTATTTTGACAAATCTTAATTTATTTGAATAATGTACGCTTTTATTTTGATTCTGTTTTAATTAAAATTTTTTTTTCTGAAGATGTGGAGTGAGGTTTACTGTGTGGGTGTTTGGGGCCCAGGCGTGGCTGACGTGGGATGGGGACAAACACCCCCTTGGGCAGCCCGTCGGTCATCACAGGCCCCGAGCCCAGTGTCTGCTGTGGCCCCAAGCCCTGCTTTAGAGCAAGGCAGGTATAACTAAACTATTTTTACAAGCCAGAATACCAGTGAAGCATTTGCTTGTAGTGTTGTATTTAGTACTTTCAGGAGCGTTCACCAATCTGCCGTTCCCAATAATTCAGCTGCTTTCCCCACCAAGCAGAGAGGGAAGGTGTTTTTGAGGGTGATTTGGGTTACCTGGAACCTCAGATTGATGGATATCAGCTTACTGCTGGACAGCCCCTGTAACTTTTCAGCCAATCAGCAGATGTGCTTTGCTTGAATGACTCATCCCCACACGGCAGCCCTGCTACGGTTCTCAGCCCTACTGGTGCTCGTACCTGATGGGCTCTTGATCTTCCTTATCTTCTTTGCTCTGTGCTATCCTGATACCGCTTTTCTTTGCTCTCGGGCAACCTGAAAGGCTAAATAAGAAACACGTTTCAGAAACCACCCTGCACCGTTGATTCCAGCAAGCTTTCTTAACTGATGAGGCTGTGACTCGATTCTTTCCGGAAACCTGTGCTTCTGGGTACACAGTCAAGATTCAGGAGCAGAGTTCTTTCCCTGTGTCCTCTCCAAGGCTTTAGGCACCGTCAGTCCCCTTTCAAGAAAGCTGGGAGACTGGGGTGGGCTAGGATGCTGTGAACGGGAGGGAAACTGGTTCACTGGGAGAGGGCAGAAGCAGTCGGGAGTCACCAGGAAAGATGCTGGGGGAGGTTTTGTTGACAGAGAGTGAGCGAGTGCACATGGACGTGTGCATGTCGGGGGTGAACGTGACTGAGGAAAACAGCCTCCCAGCCTCATTCTTGGGGGCTCTGTCTCTCACAGCAGCTTCCCAAGCACTTCCATCTCAGGTTCATGTCTTGGGAGACAGTGATGGGCTAGTGACTTATTCCAGGCTTCGGGTTGTGCCTGCAGATGGGAGAGGAGGAGCTGGACATGCTTATTTTATTGTTTTCAGCCTCGGGTACAGAAGCTTTGGACATGCTTGTAAAGGGAATTTTTTCAGCTGGAACAGAAAAATACACACACATACACACCACATACAATAATATATAAAATAAGTGGGATTTTTGGAAAAGAATTGAAGAACCAGAAATTGGGTAGTCTCCTGCCATGCCATTGGGTCCTGTGGAAATGGCAGCCCTGGTGCTGGCATATGGGTGGGTCCAGGTGGGAGGCCACTCTTCTCCCCGGCTTTCCTGAGCTCGGGTATAGTTTTCCTGGTCAGTTCTGATTCTTGGAAACATGCAGATTCCCAGGAGGAAGTGCTCACTCCCCTAAAGACAGGCTCCATCCCGCCTCCCAGGCCTTGGCTGTCCTTCTCCCTCTTCAGGTGGGGGCAGCCCCTCAGCACAGGCGGGTGGGGGAGGGTTTGGGGTTTGGGTCTGGGCAGGAAAGAGGTTGTCAGGCCCCACAGCGCCTTCACTCCAGGCCCCTGCTGCCCCAGCTCCTGGAGCCAGCGGGGAATCCCTCTGCTCCTTCCCCTGTCTCGCTCTTCACAGGAAGAGGAAAGGAGAGGCAAGGGCAGTTGAGCTCGCTGCCTGCTGGGGCCCTTCTTCTCCCCGCCTTCCTACAGGCAGAATCTGGAGAGAGGGGCCTGTCTGTGCTTCCCCCGACCTTTCCCTGTTCCTACCGCGGCCTCCTCCGCCCCCGCCCCAGCCTCTGGCTCCTGACTTGCCTGCAGGTCGCTGGGGCTCTGAGGCCAGCGTGGGTTGACTTCAGGTCCACCCCTGCACCCCCGACGCTGCACAGCTGCTCGGATGCCCCAAAATTAGACTCATCGTCCACGTCACCAACCCAAAGCCCCAGGCCAGCAGACTGAGTGTGTCCTTGCTGGGTTTTGCTTCCCTCAGGTTATGTTGATGTCACACCCAAGGCCTCTCCTCATCTGTCCAGTTTCCGCTTCCAGGGGCTTCCGCTTCCAGGCGCTTCCGCTTCCAGCAGTGCTAGTGCAGGCCCCCTGGCTGGGATCACCTCCAGGCCAGCCTTCAGCATCATCCGAGGCTCTTCACTTCCTCAGGGGGACCCGAGTTCCTCCACACGGCTCGTTGGCTCCTCGAGGCCTGGCCCTGCAGCCATGTAGGCCCCTCTCCTGCTCACAGGCCCCGCTGTCCTTGCTGGGTTCCCCCTGCAACCCTTGCCTCCATCCTTCGGACTGACCGATGTCCCTGCCTTATCTGTGGCGCGTTCTCAGCTGCGTGGCCTCTGCATCCTGCAAGAGGCCTGGGCCTGGCTGTCTTCACAGTGTGGCTGCTGCAGGCTCACACGGTTCGGTCCTCTACAGGCTCCTCTGAGAGGTGATTCCTGGGAGTATAAACCATGCAAGTGTTTGTCCGCGGTTCCCCAATTCCTAGCCCAAAGCCTTGCACAGAGCGGGCGAATCAACGCATGAATGAAGAACAGAGGAAAGAAGGGGAGAATTACGGTATCCTACCCAGGGACAATTAAAGTGTCTTACCCAGGGAGAATTATGGAGTTCTACCCAGGATCCCATCTCCCCAGATGTAGGATTCCTGTGGGGCAAGCCCAGTCCCTGACCCCACCACAGAGGCTGGGCTCCCTTAGGCCCTGCCCGCTGCCCTGTCCCTGAGTCACTCCCTGCAGACTTGAGGGCCAGGGACAGCTCTTGGCCACCATGGAGGCCTGGGCTGGGGGCAAAGCAAAACCAAACAGAACAAATCCTCAAAAACAACAAGATTTGGCTCCAACAATGCGGTGGCCTCCAGGAAGCCTTGGCCTTGGCACAGGGGCTGCTCTAGACTCCTAGAATGCCAGCTCTGCGGCTCAGGAGCCCGTATCGGAAAGCCATGTCTGTGGGTGAGAAGAGGCCCTGTGGTCTCTTTCTGGGGCGCTGGCCGAGGGCACCTGTGAGAAGCCTGCGCATGGAGAGGCGTGGTCTTTACCTGCCCCCACTCACTTGGTGGGTAGTTCAGTGCTTGTGCCCCACAGGGTCCTCTTCCACGCACCATAGCCCAGGGCCTCTGTTCCATCCCTAGGACAGCAGGACCTAGCCTCCCCTTCAGCACTGAACACCCACAGGAGTCCAGGGCCCCCAGCGGCCCCCTGTTCTCACTGTAGCATCTTAATGCATGGCTGGCACCTTTATGCTGCTTACTTCTTGCTACTTTTCATGCGTGATGAAAACAAGGGAACGTTTCCCTACCCACCCACTAAGCACTAGAACTCTAGGAGCAATGGAATTAGAACTTGTTCAGTATTTAAAACTCCCCTTATCAGCTTACAACATAGGATGGAAAGTCAGTACTTGCTACGGACCCCAGAGTGGAGATTTTCTACAGAATGACTATTTGTGAGAAGGATCTCAGCGGCCACTTCTTCCAGGCGTTGCGCTGAGGGAGAGAAGGAAGAGGCGATGCTATGTATGGGCTGTGCAGACGTAGCCCGAGTGTCTGTGCTTCAGCTTCCTTGTCTGTATTTTGGGGCAGAAATACCTGTGTCATCGGCTGTGAAAACTGAAAGTGATAACATGATACATACAATGCTTGGCACAGAGAAGGAGCTCTGTGATTTTACATCCTGACTTTCACCTTTGTCTGCACTTGTGATCCCTTCTTTAGGGCCCAGATTTGAACCTAACAAAACGTCACTCCCCGCATTTTCTCCTTCCAAATTTTAGAAACATAGGGATTCACTTGTGGGCCCTTCGCAAGCCCTGGAGGGAGGGGAGCAGTCACTCCTTTCCTGGGCGTCAGAGCTACGGCTCCATGTTCTGCTCAGGGCTCACATCCACAGCTCTTTTCTTAGGATTTGGATCCATCTTCTTTTTTTTTTTTTTTTTTTTTGAGACAGAGTCTCTTGCTCTGTTGCCCAGGCTGGAGTGGTGCAGGGGCATGATCTCAGCTCACTGAAGCCTCCGCCTCCCAGGTTCAAATGATTCTCCTGCCTCGGCCTCCTAAGTAGCTGGGATTACGGACTTGCACTACTACACCTGTATACTTTTTGTATTTTCAGTAGAGACGAGGTTTTGTCATGCTGGCTGATCTCGAACTCCTGGCCTCAAGCGATCTGCCTGCCTCAGACTTCTGCAGTGCTGGGATTACAGGCGTGAGCTACCACTGCGCCCAGCCACCATCTTCCGTTTTTGAAAGGGTCGTTTTCTTTTCGTGCATGAGTTGGAACAGCTCATCTGCTGATGACCCTGAAAGCTGTTTTTCTCCTCTCATCCTTCCTCCTTTGCTTACCTGAATATATCATAAGAATCCCAAAGTTAATGTGTTTAGGCAGACTCTAAGGCCCACTCCTCCTGGTGGACTTCTATATGTCAGAGGATTATGTCCCCTGGGTGCTTGCTGCATCCCAGGCCCTCCCTCTTTAGTGCCTGCCTTCTTCCCCAGGGACCCCTCCCACTCCTGACCCTGCTGGTCATGGCCCCATTGCCACTCTCCTCACCTGCACCAGCTCTTCTCCCGGCTGTCACCGTCACCGCCCAAGTGTGCTCTTGGTACCTCCCGTCTCTCAGCAGCCTGCTCTCTAGGCTAAAAGCTAAGCCTGCACTTGGGTGAATATCCATTTTCCAGCAAATAAAGTTTAACCCCCTCATACTGAATTCAACTGGACTCCTAAAGCAAGCTCCATTTGTAGCTGCTCCCATAGGCTTAGACCTGAAACTGTTGCCAAACTGAATTATTCACTGTCAAATGTGCATTAATGTTGGTATCATAAGACGTTCTCTAATGCTGTTCCCTTGCTTGGAATATCCTTTTCTGCTCAACCTCCTAGAGACCCTCCCCATCCATCACGCCGTGGCTCAGCATCGCCTTCTCTGTCCTGGGCTCCGACTCACCCTGCCTCGTCAGAATTAAGACATGACTTACTCATTATCTTTAGGCTTTGATAAGTACAGACATGTTTGAAAAGTATCTTTCAGGTCAGATTCCCACCCTAGTGCCATCCCGGCCCGGAGGCCCCAAGGCCACTGCCCTGAGTGTGCGTCCTCTTGGAGCCCATCTTGGTTTCCCTTAAATGTGCAGGAATGTGCTGGAGTGCCCCAGGCTGGTTAGCTTTTATGTCTTTCCTCGTAACTACCTGTACCTCGAGGCTAGGAACGCCTTAGTTATTGCTGTTCCTTTGCCTCGGGGACAGATTACATACTGAAACAGATATTTACTAATTTACTAGGTTTCTGGAATTCCACACTGACATTTGGGATTACGTTTAAACGATTAACAATTTCCTAGACAGAAACTGTTTTCCACAATTCACAGGGGCTCATGCTATGTCCACATCTTTATCTGGAACTTTGTAAATGTTGGAAATGCTATGAACACTTCAGAGCCCTGTGTTCTCTGGAGGAGGGAAAGGCTGGGGGTACGCACACGGACAGAGCACACGGACAGCTCCAGTGTAAGCACACGGACAGAGCACACAGACAGCTCCAGCGTAAGCACACGGACAGAGC